CCGGCCACTATATGAAATTCCCATGTGCCATATCTCAGAAAACCGAGTTAAGCTCACAAGGGAGGAGCGAGTTATCTACAAGTAAGTAATACTATCTGGAGCTTATAGTCATACGTACTGATGTATGAAGCGTGGTTGAGTCTCGTTACCGTGACATTATCAATAGTATATTGAGAAAATCTCGAGCGCGGGATCAAAAGGTGCGGCTGAGAGACCTCGATATATACATTGTTTTTCTCTTACGTCTTCGTCAAGGTGTAGCGCACCCTTTTCTACTTGAGTCTGCGTTTAAGCATGCATTGAAGCCGAAAGACCTCGACCAGATTCAGCACCTCCTCAAAGAGGTAGGTGGTCAGGATGCAGTGTATAAACAGATCGGAATATGGTGCGCAAAAGAAGCGGCCGCTACTAGGGACACGAACCAAAACGATGGAGAGCCATTAAAAGCAGGGACTGGGGAAAGCCAATTTAGCAGTGAATCTAATATTACAATGCAAATGACTGACGCCATCGCCATGAAGAAAGAAGGTCTATGTCGAATCTGCTGCCAAGAGCCCCTCAACGCCCAAACAGCTAAAGTGAGTGTGGCTTGTGCTGTTAATAACATAAGTCTTTGTTAATGAGTGTATAGCAGTGCGAGCATGTCTTCTGTGAGCAGTGTCTCTTCGACTACATGATAAGAGAGCTCCAAGATGGAAACATAGTACCTCGATGTCCCGATTGTAGAAAACCCCTGACTGAATACAAGTCCGGCCAACTATCTGATATGGAAGATTCGGATACAGAGGGATCTGTTCGTCAATCAACGCCACAGAAAAACAGATTTGGCTCGGGACAACTCGGTCGGGATGCTCTAAATCAACATCCGAAGTTGAAGAAATCGCAATCCATGTTCCTTCGCGAAAGTGATCGAGCCCATCCTAGGCCCGTGGTTCCAAGCTCAAAGACGCTGGCTGTCATGAATGATATACGTCAGTGGGGGTCCGAGGCACCTGACGACAAGATCATCGTATTTTGGGAATTCAAGATGACAGCTGCAATTTGTGGGCGTATGTTGCAGGCTGAGGGTATAGAATTTCTCTATTTCTTTGGTGACATGTCTCCGAAAGCGAAGGAGAAAGCAATTCAGGAATTTCACGGCAACCTGGGGATCAAGGTCATGGTAAGCGAATAGTAAGATAAATGTCACAGAATGCGCTAACCATTACAAGCTCGCGTCCTTTAGATGTGGTGCAGCGGCGCTCAATTTGACATGCGCAAACCGAGTCATTCTCGTTGACCCATGGTGGAATGTTTCCATTGAGATGCAGGCGTTTGGACGAGTATTCAGGATTGGTCAACTCAAAGAAACATATTTCCGCCGTATTCTTGCTGACCGTACAATCGACAACCGAATGGAGAAAATCCAAGAGATGAAAACGGAAAATATCAGCAAGGTCATGGGGTCTGGAGACAAGAGAGGACTCTCTGTTGAGGACATCATCTCACTATTTGGAATTGTCAAAAAGTTTGAAGATGGCGGTTTGGAGGTTGTATCGGATGATGAGGCAGATGATGAGGTAGATGATGAGTCGGACGAGGAAACTGACGAGTCTGAAGAAGAGGAGGAGTACGAAGACGTCTAATTTCGGCCGTTTGCTTCACCATGAGCGTCACAGCACGAGTATCTCCGTCGATCGTACCCTTTCGTACATTCTTACAATACTGCCTTTGTGAGCTCATCGCTGCTCATCTTGACCGATAGCAGGAGTTGAACAGATCTCGTCCGTTCTCCTGTGGCGGTAAACCATCCTAACTTTCTCATCATGCCTTACAGGGTCTCAATAATCCCCCCTTTCATGCTAAGGTTATGAGAATATATCGTGGACATAACGGAGAGAAAGGAGATCAACGGGAAAAAGGAAAAGAGAAAACAAGAAAAAAACACCCCATTCAAACTCAAAAGGAAAAAAGGTCGATGGATTGCCCACAGCCTCACTGCAGTAAGAATCGAACCTCTCACTCCATATCTCCGACATTGCCTACGGATTCCACATGCACATTGTACAACTACCAGCCAAACAGCATCTCGTCTCGTTCCATGGACCTAAAACTACAATGGCCCAACACCTACACACTTAGATAGCTTAGTTAACTGCGAAGATTTCACTGATAAAAGTGTTCAGTATGCTTAAGTGATTGTGTTATGTTTAGAACCGTATTTTTTCGACTTCTTGTTTGGCTCTGTTGAGGGTCTTCGCTTCTAGGAACTGTCCTTTTGAAATAATGGATTGAATGATGAACTAATTCAATAGCGAGAATGGCGGTTGTTATATTTTCCACTGTGCATTATTTACGTATCTGCGTCAGACACGGAACAGGAGCCTGTTGCTACATTACTCTTACCGCAACAGCCGCACCTTGTATGTACAACCATATCGACACACAGGAGAACTCGAAATCCTTCTCATGCCACCACAGCCTACTGTCGTGCCTCTGAAAATCCAGACTAGGAGCAACACCCTCACAGCTCACAAGCCCCCTAAAACACCCCCTCAGCTTCCCGACAATCAACTTTATTCATTAGGGCGTAATAGCAAGTCCATTTCCTCCTGTCATGTGGCATCAAGTGCTTCCACAAGCAGTAGTACAATCAACTCCCCAACAAGCGCGAAACCGGACCTCAACACGGCGCATGGAGATTGCAGGTCTCATGTTATGTCGTATAATAGGGCACTCGGCAGCGCATGGAAGGGCGTTATGTGCACGGAGAGTCCGAGGAGATGGGGTGGGAGGGACTCCGTGCGCTACTTGGACGTGTGTTCTGATGAGCGGGTTGGTCTGCAATGGCAAACGGAGACATCTCGTTCAGGGATTTGTTTGTTGTCATGGTAGGGTAGGTGATAGATGTCTGAATTAGAAGACATGTGTGTGTTCTCTATTCAGGTGGGTGATGATCTTGAGTAGTTGTCACATGGAATTCATCGTGATTTTTCTTAGGATACGAAGAGATGATGTGCATTACTTTTGTTGATTTCGCTGCGTAGGCACGGTGTTTCGGTATCGGTATGAATGTACACAGGGGACAATAGACTCGATCATAGCGTGGACAGTAATTCGGCATGATCGTGGATGATGGTGTCATCGAGAACTGACGAACCAAAGTAGTAGAATAATAGGTTGAGAGTAGGGAGGATACAATATATGAGTCATTGTGGATTGACGTCTCAACTCAACTCTATACGTTGGGAAAAGAGAAGAATGCTGATAAGTTAGAGCCACGGCGTGTTAACATTTCACATTGTAAGAGTATGTGGGATGAAGATTCTATTCTGTTGAGGTAAATAAACTATGAGCTGTACTCATCACATGTAGATGCAATAATAAATAAAACCTTGACCAGAAATCTTTGATTCCGTATAGTATGTAAATCGCATTTCCATGGCGGATGTTGAATTGGAGAACGAGCTGGCGGATTGTCCACAGTGACCAAAATGAAATTGGGGAGCCTAAGACGCGAGGATCCAGAACCGACCCCGCCCGGGCCGATTGAGGGATACTATAAGTAAAGGATACAGTGCTCTAGCTAGCACGCAATGCGATAACTTTGAATTACAACGGCACATAACATATCACAACCAAGACAAAACAGCTATCTCCTAAGCATAGCACCATGGCGGCCAAAACGGACTCAAAGGAGGTAGTCGAGCTACTCAAAACGCTCATGAACATCGAAAGCACGAGCGAAAAGGAACTCGAGATCGGGCAGTACCTGGAAAAGTACATCCGGGGGCGCGGGTTCACGGCGGAGCGAATCGCCATCGAGCCGGGCTCGACACGGCACAACGTCTACGCGTATCTGGGACAGGAGCGAAAGGCGCGGCTGCTGGTGACGGCGCACATGGACACGGTGCCGCCGCACATCCCGTTCAGCATCGACGGCGACGTGGTCCGCGGGCGCGGCGCCTGCGACGACCTGGGCCCCATGGTGGCGCAGGTGTTCGCGGTCGAGGAGCTGCGCGCCGAGGGGAGGCTGAAGGAGGGCGATGTGAGCTTCTTGTGGGTTGTCGGCGAGGAGAAGGGAGGGCCTGGGATGATCGCTGCTAACGACATGGGGCTCACCTGGGACGCGGGCCTCTTTGCTGAGCCGACCGAGGGAAAGGTGGCTAAGGGACACAAGGGTAATCTTGTGTTTGAAGTGATTGCTCACGGGAAGGCCTGGTAAGTAGGCATGTCGATATATCGTTGATTCATTGTACCTTATTCACCTGAGACCGAGAGGAGATTGATTGACTTGATCATCTGCACAAAGCCACTCGGGATATCCGCACCTGGGCAAAAGCGCAACGCTGCTTCTCTTCGACGCCATGAACGACCTCCGGGCAGCCGAATGGCCCATGTCCTACCTCCTAGGCCCGTCGACGCTGAACATCGGCAAGATCGAGGGCGGCGCCGGCTACAACATCCTGGCGGCCGAGGCCAAGGCTCTCTGCAGCATCCGCGTGGCGAAGGACGTGGAGGGCATCAAGAAGACGGTGAGGGAGGTGATAGACAAGCACCCCGATGTCGACGTCGACTTCAAGTTCCAGTACCCCGAGATGTTGCTGGAGTGGGAGTTTGAGGGTTTCGAGGCCGAGCCCATGGCGTATGGGACTGACATCCCCAGACTGCGAGGCGACCATAAGAAGGTGCTCTATGGTCCGGGGTCGATACGCGTGGCGCATGGAAAGGACGAGTATATTCTTGTCAGTGAGATTATGGAAGCGATTGAGAAAAACAAGAAACTCATCCTGGAATTACTAAAATAGGGTGTTGTGTTCGTAAAAGTAATGATAAATAATCGTTAACAAACTAAGCCCACGAAGACGGTCATAAATGTTTAAATAGCTACCTAGATAGGTCATGAAAATTAATTGAATCATAAACAGCCTGATAGTCAGAATAAGTAGGATACAATAATCAAAAATAATACAGTTAAAAAGACGAGGAAGTTATATGGAATAGAAAAGTGGAAAAAGAAACTCCGAATCGGGGAATCGAACCCCGGGCTTGACGGCACCTTTTCTATTGAACATCTTGAGATGTATCAGATAGTTGAGAGCGTCAAATGTTAGCCACTACACCAATTCGGATTGTAGATTTGACCCGCACTGAGCATTATAGTCCAGACATGGAAGCTCTATCCATTGTGGGGCGGATAAGACCTATATGAAAGGTATTGCCAATTGGTACTGCAACAGAGGAGGCCAGCTGGTACTTATTCAAACACGTCCGCCAACCCTACTATACTGACTATCATACCTCTTAATTATCTTCTCTGGAATAGACATGTCATAAATTTAAGCTGACATTAAACAATACTGGGTTAAATACATCAACCTGGAGGTGACTGCATATATCGGCCTATGAAAATATAACACATACCTACAGGACTCCGTACAACATCCTGGGATTAGGATTATTCCCACCAAGCAGTCACAGCGGCCACGAACCCACGAGCTGGGTGAGATGGAATATTCGTTGACATCACTATACATGGAATGGCCAGGCTATTGCCGATTACATCCACGTGTAGACTTTGGAACAACAACGCCGCAAGACGTACGCAGTATGCAAATGAGTCCAGCACCGGAGCGATCGTCTGGCATTATCCAATAGCAGGACGGGCATTTCATGTGCCAATGGCGACGGGCAGGACCCCAGGTACCAGGCTCCATGCAGCCCCCACATGCTAGTTCTGTACACTACTAGGTAAGCTGTAGAAGTAAACATGGTTCCTCAGTGGGGGGATTCACATGTCCTTCACACACCCAGGTTCCAGGCTCCATGCAGCCCCCCCACGAGCTACCTACTGTAAGCTGTAAACATTTCACATGCCCTTCACATATCCTAACCAGAAAATTAGAGACCGCAGTGAATTTCGAGCAACTTCTAGGGCATCGCCGTGAGCCTGTTACAAACAAGGAACTACCTAGTATACCTAAAGAGACTTCGAGACATCAGCTTTTCTCTTCCATAGACAAGCAAGTACACCTAGGCAACCTGCAGCCCCAGCTCATACGTGGTTACCTATATTAATACCGGCCCAACTCTGGACTCTTAAACTTTTCCCTCTTCCTATTTGTATCTCTGATTAAGATCCTCAACACCTGAGGAGCTCTCTCCCCCTCTGAACCTGATAATTCTCGTCTCTGACAGCGGACATTACCAAACCCCAGATAAAATCTCGTAAGAGTTACCAATCAACATAACAGACAAGATGTCGTCAGGCGTTGGCGATGGTGATAGCAAGGGCTTCGTTGGTCGGTTACCCCGTCTTTCCCTTCCCCATGAGTTATCAACACTGACTCGGAGCGTGTCCAGACCCCGGCATCGTGACAACACCCGAGATCTCTGAGCCATGGACAGTAGACAAGGTCATAGCTACCATGTCTCCCGCACCACCCACCGAGGGCACCGACTCGCCTGTTCCATATTTCCACATCCTCGAGAGGCTGAAGACCAACAAGCGCGAAGGGTGGAGGCGATTTAATATTGAGAGGTACCATACCTACTCAAACATGCCCCAATCACCATAGTTCCTAAGCTAACAGCAATGCTCGCAGAGGCGAATCGATATCGGACCACATGTACCGCATGTCCCTCATGACGATGCTCTGCCCGCCGACGCTCGCGCCGAAACTCGACCTCTTCAAGTGCATGAAGATGTGCCTGATCCACGACATGGCCGAGGCCGTCGTCGGCGACATCACCCCGGTCGACGGCATACCGAAGACGGAGAAGAGCCGCCGCGAGGCCGAGACGATGGACTACATATCGAAGAACCTGCTCGGCAAGGTCTACGGCGGCCTAGCGGGCGCGGAGATCCGGGCGATCTGGCAGGAATACGAGGATTCGGAGACGCTGGACAGTCACTTCGTGCACGACCTCGACAAGATGGAACTCCTGACACAGATGGTGGAATACGAGAAGCGCGCCAACAAGGCCCTCGACCTCGGCGAGTTCGCCTACGTGGCTACAAGAATAGTGCTTCCGGAGACGAAGAAGTGGGCGGAGGAGGTGCTCAAGGAGCGCGACGAGTTCTGGGGCGCCCAGGCGCATGTCCATGGCGAGGCGGGCGTCGACGGCGGTGTCAAGGCGGACAAGCTCAAGAAGCAGGAAGCCTACTACAATAAGGAGAACGCAGCGGCTCCTTAGAGAACTATATCGGGCAAGAAACAATCACGGAATCTTTGGCTCGGGCTTGGGCCATTTGGCTAATTCTCGTTTACACGGAGGGACTCGCAAGTGCAATACATTTGGCGGACTTTGGGCTACGGTCATTGTGGTACAAAAGAAAGAGGATACCTAAGGTAGAGCACATTGTTAGAGACAACGGGCACCTAGAGATAGACCTATACCCAAAATACGGAAGCCACTTAATCGAGATTCCCTGTGCTGTGCTCCCTCTAAGACGCATTATGGCGGACTAGGTATGTGTGTAGACCAGTATGCGTAGTACCGCTAGTGCATTTATACCAGCCGAACGTACCTACCTACCTGCAGTAGGTAAGGGGGCTAGGTACCTATAAGTAATACAGGCAGAGTTGAGGTGAACAACAGGTACATTCCGATGCCCCACGATGCCCCACGATGCCCCGCAACAATGTCCTTATCAGCTTACTTACCTGGTGCCTACCCGTATCAGCAACCCCCCGGCACCTACCCCAGCTCCAGTACCAGGCTACCTACTTACCTACCTTGAATAGGGACTGTTTGATTAAATGCACGCTGGCCCAGCAACGCCATCACAACACAACAATCACGCTCGTTTTTGCCAGTCCGTCCAGCGAAGAGCAGCTTGTTCCTCCAATCTAGAGGCAGCACATGCAAACTGCACATCCCCAGGGTTTTAGCTGCGTGTGGCTTGAACCTGTGCAGGATCTGGAACACGTCTAGCGGTCAAATACACTTTCCGAGAACCCATAACGCATCCATATGCCACATCGGCTACGTACTCTACCTACTGGCATTAGCCCTGCTGCAGCTTACAGCTCGAGCTCTAACTTTTAGGTGGACTACAGCACAACACAGCACAGCACAGCACAGCACAGCACAGCTTACACTACCTAGCTACGGGTGGATGGGTCATGTGTCTTGTGTCTTGTGTCTTGTGTGGACGCATAACGGGGGTTGACGCCGGCACGCAAGAACCTACACCGTCTACTTACATCTAGATCCAGTCGTCGTCGTCGTCGTCGTCGTCATTCCCGTTAACCACCTCCTCGTCTGTATTTCGTCTTCCCTCCACACACGAGAGCAGCACATCTACATGTTCTGTTGAGCGTGCAGGCTACACGCCTCGAATGCTCGAATAGAACTACCCAGCTGTAGTCCAACGCGAATACCAAATACTACGATCGCATCAGCCAGGTATCAATCAGCACTACACAGATTCAAAACTGTCGTAAAGCATCGGATCACGCGCTCCTCGACCGTCGTCGATGCGCCGCGCGGCAAACATTCACTACAACCCGAATATTTACAAACCATACCACAAAGCCACACAACCACAGAAAACCAACCCGACGTAGCGACACGAGATCGATGGCAATCCACCCACACCGATATTCTTATTAAGCGAGTTAACGAGCGGCTGCTTGAACCATCCGGGTTTTGTTTTATGTACATATTGACCAAATCAAATCAGCCATCACGACACCACGACACCACGACATCACGATAACAGCGCCGTGCGTTAACACTACCACCACGGCGTTTTCGTCAGCCTCACCTTCACACCGCTCCTCCCAACCGAACGCAGCACTCTTCATAGCCATTTAAACACCTCGTTTGAAATGTCATACAATTCTCAGATCCTCATGTCCGGCACTGGTACTTTTCACTTCGACCTACCAAATGGTGGCGGTGGTAGGGGCGCACCCTTTCCAGGCGTGCATCCGGGCCTCTTCCGGCCCCCGGCGTCCCCGTCTGTGGCGAGCTCCATGTATCTCGGGAGGTCGACGGCAAGCTTACAATCAGAGATACCCACGCCCATCTCTACTGCTAAGAGGAAGCGAATAGGTGCGAGGGAGTCTACACCTATCCACGACTGGCCCATGACAGGTGATGGAAACTACCACCCAGATCATATTATCGACGGCCGGTCCGACTTCGACCTCTACGCAAACGGAAGAGAGAAGCGATATGTACTGGCTGGCCAGATAGAGACTCCCAACGGAGCTATCCAGAAGGATCCCGGACGTATGGAAGATAGTGTCTATTCTGATGTCGACTACAGGCGTGCCCTCGGATCTAAACGATCGCGCGATGACGTCGATTCTCCGGCGTCGAGGCCCATGACAGTCGACTCTAATAATCAGGCACCCGCTGGCTGGAGCTCTTTTGCAATCAGCACGATCGGCGACGTCGTTGGTAGAGTCTGGGAATTCTGCAAGACCGGCGCGTTTCGTGGTTTCTACGCTGGAGGCGGCAGGGGATATGACGTATCGGAGGAACTGCAACAACAACAACCTTCTGCTGATAGTCACTGGGACCAGCCGTTGAGCCCTCTTATTTCATTCCAGCCCCAATATGATGATTCGCCATTCCATGAAGCCGATACACCCGAGTCGACACCACCACCAGCCCCAAAGCGAAGACAGATATCCTATGGGACACCTACTGATGAGCTGCGCAAGAACTGGGTCATGATTGATGAGCCAGCTAACGTGAGTCGACAGCCTTCTCTAGCATCACGAGTACCAGCATACCGCACGGTGCAACGAACGACGGCACCATCCCTCACTCGCCGCATCAGCAAGCCCGTTAGCCGTCTGAACGCACCCAGTTTCAGCCGTCATTTTCCCACTCCTGCCCGACCTGCCCGACCCAGTCCGGCTCCCGTCTCGAGTCTCGAACCTGCCAGTTTTGCGTCAACCAGATCCCCAACCTCATCGCCTGGTATGAAGGCGCAGAGCAGAATCCCCATTCCCTCCCGACCACAATCCCCCAGTCCTTTTGGAGCAAGCCATTTCACACAACAGTCATCCCAAGTACTGAGCCCCATCCCGTTCGCGAAACATAGCCACCGGCGCACCCAGAGCTCCGTGTCAACAGCGTCGCCGTCGCCTATAAAGATGAAGAAGCGAGA